AGTTTGGTCAATAACCGACTGCGTCTCGAGCTAAAAATAAGATTCGAATAAGAGAGAAAAAGGTTCCCGCGTGCTTAATACTTACTGGTTCAAAACCAAAGAACTTGATTGCCTCATCACCATTTGCTATACAAAATGTTCCATCTCCTTCTGATGACAATCTGGTCGTATTGTTTGAACATCCTATGAAAAGGAAGCCAACACGAGTCAAACCAAGCTACGCGTCTTGTAGTATTATCAGAATCTTCTTATATACCTTTTATAATGGCAGGACAATTAAGCCTTTATTATGTTTATAGCTGGAATTATTAGTCAGTGATTGTTGGGAATTGCATGAGTAAGAGTGAAAAGCATCGAGCCTCCGTTTATGAGAAAGTTGTCATGAATATTCTGTAGACAGTGTTCCTTTGGCTGATTTTTGAAGTGGTTGAGCTGGGCAAAAATATTAACTTTTCTCTAGCTAGATGAGATCACAAAAATTAGCACGCAAATACTATTAAAGGAAATAGACCAAATCCGACATACTTCGCTGCGAGGCTTGGGAGAATCATCTTGAGGCTCAGCAATGAATAATGCACTTCTTTTGTTTTCTTCGCCCAGGCCTCGGAGCCAAGTATAAATTTTAATATATCGAAAATGTTCTATCTTTTTGTACGCTTTCTACTGCAGGCGAAACCACCCCGGGTCACGTGAAGGTGTAGCCGTTTATAGGGCAAAGGCGGTACCATTTTAGTTAAGACTCTGAGTTTTGATCCGGTCTCGGAACCGAGCCTGCGACCTGCCACTCTACAGGCCAGTCCTGTATAAAGACAGAGCTAATCCTGCCTCAGTCATGTGCAAAATGATGGGAAAAACATATCTAACGACAATTACTCTGAGGTACCAGAGAGACTACGTACCTATCTGACCGTAATCTTTCCACTGATTGATTATAAGAGCCTCATATCCGTACATAAACCATGATATGTACTTGAGCCAAACAAAATAAACAGGTACAGAACTGTTATGAAAGGAACGGGTGAAAACATAAATTACCTTCATGTTCAAGGCTTTAAAAAACCACTCAGATAATCACCTTATTGTCTTGAACTTCATTTTACATACATGTATTTCAGGTAAAAAAAATAAAAATGAACATTGGATTTTATTTGCTTACGTATTCTTGAGGAAGAACCCGCCGAAAATTAGAAGAGGTAAGCTGAGGGGTGTACCAAGGGATGTGGCTGCAGTGACGGTCGGCGCCATCGTTGATACAATATAACCTATAGAAACAAGCAAACAAAATACTCAGCTGACGTCAAGCTTGTAAACCGCTTTAGACTGTGAAGCGCATGTCGTGGATTTCATCCTTGGCCGGAACAAATACGCTCAACTGAGGACGAAAATTTTGCCTTTGTCCTGCAATCGGTTTTATCTGCTTTGTAAATGGATACTTGTCTCACAAGCACTATTGCGTTCTGTTCCAACCCCCCTCCGCACACTCGTAGAGCGTAAAGTGGTCTTTGGACAAGGGCTTGGATGTAGGCTCAGTCTCCAGACGTGGATGCCCAATGCGCCCGCGATTCTCCAAACCTCACGTCGCGGGTGCATCGAGACACCGTCCCATGGGCTGGAGACCGAGTCTAGCTTGAATGCGGCAAATATGATTTTAAACTCATTCTGTGTCGGAAGATGAATACAAAAGTAAACAACTGACAGTCGAACTATTGAACCACTTAATCGAAACCGTAATCAAAATATCAATTAAGAATCACTCACCAAACGAAATAGCGACGTTTGTAACAAGACACATGATACCACAACACACAAGAAAATGGAGAAAGTCATCTCGGAAACCTATGAAAATTCAAGTCGATATACAAATGAGCGTTATAGTCTTTTTAAGATCAAGTTTTAAACTTTTGAGACCATAACTTTGTGTGATATTTCACGCGATTCCAAGTCTACAACCGAGCGATTCATATGATAAGTAGTGTCTCTCAATCTTTTGCATGTTGTTGTTGTTTTTTATGAACGTTAAAGCTGCATTTTTCTCACAACTTTATTAAACAATGAATTAAAGAATAGAAGTACCAAGAAAGGGCACTCACCAATCATCCAATAGGAGATAACAGTTAGTAATAATGTAGAAACAAGGAAAATGGGTATCTGTAATGAAACAGAAACATGTTAGTTTAAACAAAATAGAAACGTAGTGTAAGGCTACACGTCAAAACTATACCAGATAGCGCTAGCTTTGCGTTGTTCCGAAATCCGTATGATCGGATAGGTCATAAGAACAGTGATTTGGCACTGTTTCTGAAGGGAGTAAAGCTGCATGCACCGCGCCGATCTTAAAAGTGGAACGTTATACGTTACATACAGCCTCCTCCTCAGGCGCTTCGTTTTACGCATGGGAGAGGCGAGCGCGAAACGAGTGACTGGTGATGAACCGCAAGGGACCATGGGAAGGGTACGAGGCAGCGTTACATATATATCGAATATGTTTCTTGCGGCATATTGTCTGAGAAGGTGTTCATTCTATACTTTCGGACACATGAAAAGCTATCCAGTATAATGTTTAGGAGTCTTTTTAGATATTATCCGGAAGACAATCACATAGAGGTCAGATATCTTTAAACGCAACGGAAGTCTTGGTAAAGTTTTGATACCGTAACGTTTATTTCTGACGACTGCGAGAGACCTGGGAAGCGGAGGTAATAATAGAGCTCTATGACCACCGAAACACCGAACTGCACAGGCTATCTGAATTCATGCGTTCTTTAATGCGGCACCTTTTAAAACCCAAAATTCCCATGTTAGGGGTGATGAAGGACTGCTATAGACTATCTACTAGCGCGAAGGGTATAAGAGACTAAATCATGGTTGCCAGAGACCGGAACTGGTAGTGCAGTTTGGTTCGCACATCGTGACCGTGGCAGGTACTTTCTTTGTGTTGCTATCACTAAGTGACAACAAATGATTGCAAAGATACCGAAATCATACTATCCGTACCACAAACAATAGCTTCCTAGCAATTAAGTATGGGGTACGCTTGACCCCTAACTTGACTGTGTGTAACTGAAGGAATAGTCTTCCAAAGCCTTTCATTGTGTCGTTACTTTTGAAGACACAAAACGGCAGCGTGCGTAGGATTTTTCTGCCAATGATGATGACGAGGAATTCCATAGTTGGTGAATTATACCATTTCAGGGATAAACCTACCTCTGCTAATGTTTTTGCCAGGTAGTACACGCTTGTTCTGTACATCCCGTTTTTATGTTCTCGCAAAAACACTGGAAGCTCTGCTGGAAATATCTTTTAAAAAAGACATTTATCAGTTAGAAGAGGATCCAAATCTCCAACATTTTGATGTGGAGTTTGAAAGAGTCCCAGGAGACCTAATTCTTTACGGTCTGAATTCATTTTCAATTGTCTGTCCGGGATTTTTTTTTTCAGTGTTTCTTTTTAAAAGTCATGAATGTTACTCAAAACTCAACTTTCCGTTTGCCATTTTTGCCACATTTAAGGTTTACCCATTTTCTATGCCCGTGTGGTTTCCATGATCACTTTTAAGGAATCTCCTGTTAGCCCTTTGGAATCTGGCGAGAGCTGTGGAGCTTAGCCTTGGGGCATACACCCGTACCTCCTTTGAGGATGCAATCAAGGCAACTAGTACTTCATAAAACATTCATAAAACGTATCTTTTTTATCAATATCCTTTGGGAAGTTGCGCTTTCAGTCATAATGGCTGGTTTGTAAAAATTCCAGTTTCGAATTAAAAATTACCGCTCAATACAAACATCAACGAGACATTCATACAGGGTTAGCCTCGATGTAAAGTAAAATATTCAGAAATTCTGGCAAGTAAGTGTTTAAAATTTGAATATACACAATAGACATATAATTAACAGACATTAAATTCTGCAAGCAGAATTTTAATACTGCAATGCTGCAATGCAATGCAGAATTTAATATGTCTACATTATTATTTTTGCTGATCAGGCCTTTATAGATCCTACGTTCTTCGGCATATATATAACTTTGTGGTTAATGTTAGTATATAATAAACAGGTCTTTTTCGCGTTGGAATTTGTGAATATATTACTTTAGATGGAGGCTAAGGATTTAAAAAATGCGTCCTGACTTCTTTAATTCAGCGGTCTTAGCGAACTCGAAAATGGACTATTGAAAAAAAAAAAACAAAAAAAAAACATACATACGCCATTTTGACAAATCACTATTGATCACCATTGATTTAAATACTTACAAACAGTACTCCATACAGGCTTGAAAATGAGATCGATACCACAAGAAAGAAATAGGCCCCTGCAATGTCTTGGATTCCATCTTGGTTGTATGGGATTTGCAAGTAAATCAATCCTGCAAGCAATCCCGTGAACTACAAAAAAATTAATAAAAATAAATAAAATAAATGTAAAATTGTGTTTGGTAATAGTAGAGTGAATGCTATAGTGAATGCTATAAGAATAATAAAATATGGTTATATGATAAAGAAAACGCTGAATTCTACAGAATTAAAATTAAAGCTGACTTTATAATTTTCAGCTTTTAAGCGCTCATCAGAGAACCCGCGTCAGTGAATACATGTAGTAAATGTTACAGACAGTCACTTATATAGGTGTTCGACTGAGTCAAAGCTCGCTCCATGGAAAGGAATCTAAGATAGTCTTGGATTTTGTATTCCACGCCGTGGATTCCGGATTCCAGGTGCTGGATTTGAGATTCTTGGCCGCGGGAACTTGGATTCCGCATACCAATCGCCAGTGGATTCCGGAATCCTTGAGCTGTATTCCAGATTCCAAAGTTAGAATTTCAGATTTTACAAGCGAAGATTTTCCGCAAGCAAAAAGTCTTGGATTCCGGATTTCCTTACATGTGTCGAATAAGCTTTATTCTAGTTACTTCAACTGTCAATGGATCTTAATAGAAAATAGTTGTTGACCCACAATCTCTCTAAAAAGAGTTGGTCCTATTGCTATAAATATCCAGCGGATTGTCTGCATACTTACAATGGCGCGGAATATTTTTATTCTAAAAATAAGAGAGTCGCGCTTGTTAGTGGTCCATGAACGCCATAACACTGCCATTAGCTGTCGACACCAAGACACTTTGTACCTGAAAAATGCACATTCTAGTTACTTATTTTACTTAATCAATTCTGATCATGATTATACAAACAATGGAAATCATCACATGCTAAATTGTTTAGAAGCACTTACGGTGAGCGTTTGCTAAAAATGACATCATCCTGAAATGAGTTCTAAAATGAAGAGAATAAAACTGTCATTTCAGAACGTGTCGAAGGGGATAAGAGTTAGAAAAAGAAAGAGAGAACATTGTCTCATGTGGTATGGGTTACAAATACAGCTGGCTTCGTGGCTGGATTTTAGGTCCTATTCTCGACAGCTATACAAATGACGCACACCCTAAATATAGATTTTAGGCTGTTTGGATAGACAAGGGTATACATAAGACTAAAATGGTGCTTCATTTGATTTCAAGTGCGATACAAAAAACTATTTATATAAAAAAGAAAAACAAAAACAAAAACATAAACGAAAAAGTGCTTAGCACCATACTGTGACAAAGGCCATCAGTCTATAATGCGAATGATATAACTTGAAGCAAACCTGCAGTTCACTGCTTTTTTCCTGGATTTTGCAGCTATTCTCTTGTTTTGCCTTTACTGCTTCATGTTCACTAAATACATCACAAATTTCCTATCAGAATAAGAAAAAAATAATCATATAACAGTGTCCCTACTGTATTTATCTGGAATATCTCATAAATATAGCCGAGGCCTCAACTCAGCTGGGTTTTTAATAAAGGTATTTAACCTTATTACCTGGTCTGTAAAAGTGTGCCATTCATAAAGCGACTTCCATGTCCTTTTACTTATTTTTACCCTTAGATGAGAGGGGGGGGTGCGGGCAGAAGGCGGTGTCCAAAAATTTTTTTTAGTTTGGTTCAAAAATAAAGGAGGTGGGGGGGGTCCCTCCTCTGGATCCGCCACTGCAAGTAGCTTAAGCCAACAATTCGGTAGTTAGGCGCATCAAGATAACATTGTGGAAAGTCATTGGAGTTGTAATACCTAAAGCAACCTTTTCGTAATAAAGTTCTTACTTTAACTCTAGTCTTGGACTCTTCCTCTTCTCCCGGTACAATGGCCAAGGTGTTAACAAAATAATCAGCAGGATTAAAGTTCATTGGACAAGGATACCCGAGCCTGAAAGAAATATCAAAAGGCAGTCATTCTGACGTTTGCCCTTTTCTCGAGTGACTGTAGGTTTTTTTTGGAGACACTGACTCATGAACAAGCAACAACAGTAATGTCACCACACGGCTGCATGGGACTATAAACAATTTTCTGAGGTCAAATTTTAAATCTTCGAAGCTGAGGGAAGCAAATTCAACTAACTTAGAACTAATCAGTACTAATCATCGTAAACTAGTATCATTTACTGGACATTGCTATCTTGACTATATTCCTGATGATCTTGTTTCCAGTCTCCCTTCACGCCCCCACCCCCTTTGATACCCAGAGAGAAACTAATTGTACCTTTCAAAGTATGGTATTGCTTCAGCTGTTGGTCCCATGTAAGCTGTCCTTCCTTCAGCTAAAAGCAGTATGCTTAAGAAAAAAAAAGCAAAATATTTCTCATTTAAGACATTCGGAAATGTTCAGTGGAAATGATCAGTCCTTGTATACTTTTAGTGCCTTGTGTAGTAAAAGTTGCGAAGAATACATTATATCGCTCAGAAGAGATCTACGCAGACCATGAACCTATGAGCCAATAAAAGTCTTAACAAGCTTTTGTGCTTAATAACAAACTCTCTTTAAACGTAAAACAAGTGTCTCATACTAAATGTTACTGCCAGGTACTAAAGAAATGAAAGCTGTATTCATAAAAGATAACACAATATACAATTCAGCTGCAAGCAACACTTAACTGACTACTGATACCTGTCAAACATGGCGTAGACCTCAGATGAGGGTTGATGTATGGTACATATGATGGTTCGACCTGAAGCAGCTAAACGCTTAAGTGATGCTATCAAATTCTGAGCCATGTATGAATCAAGACCAGACGTTGGCTCATCAGAAAACAGCAGTGGTGGGTTGGTAAGAACCTGGAAAGTGTATTTTAGTTTGAGGTTATTTCATATGACATTATCAGAGGTATTCCTCTGGGTTAACTAATACTGTTTGGTAAAATGTGCTTAATTCACGTGCCATATTCATTCACGTTTTCGGTGCCAAATCTACTTGTTGAGGAGGAGGGCTTTTAGAACCAGATAGCGAGTGGTGACTCAAATTATAAAGTAAATAACTGTAGCTTCAACAGCCAGGCCATAGGTTAAGTTTGTCGCTTCCAAAGAAATTAGGAAAACTGAACGGTTTATTGCTTTATGTGTTTTGAGCAAGCTTTTATTGCCCCGGATAGGTTTGCAACCATGTTGCAGCTGAGCTAGTAACGGTTGATGCGGACGTTCCACTTGGGTCGACGAAGCCTTTTTTGCACTACCAAGGCAAGCAGGTGGATTAATATTTCTCTAGAATCCTTGAAATGTTTTATAGATGTGGCCAGTAGCAATATACCCACCTCCGATGCAAATGCCAATCTTTTCTTTTCTCCTCCCGAAATTCCACTAACTCGCCCTGGGATCCCAATGACTGTGTCAGCACATTTCTTCAAGCCAAGCTGAAATCATAAGGACAATGGGTTAACTGAAATGATTGCACCCTGCAAGTGGTCAAATGCACTTTTTCAAGTCTGAAACTCTCTTTATTCAAGCGGGTTCATCCATTGGCAAATAAATGAACTGATTGACTGCTGTGCTTCATACTTGGGTATCCGTTGGCTACTAAACATAAAATTTTTGTAGCTGTAGCAGGTGGAATATATGTTGAATGCGCCTGCCTTCGGGCAACGGATGGGCGTGTATAGTGACCCTCTAGTTTTTCCGTGCGACGTACATGTAAACGTGACAAAGTTCATCGGGTCTTTCTTCAATATTTTCAACCAGTACTGCAGTGTTTTAAAATAATATATTAGAAAGTAGCTACAACCCCCAGTGTGAATTTGAAGCCAAGAAAGTGCGGCAGTATAGTAGTCGGTGATTCAATAGTGAATAACCACATGCGGGAAACCTCGTGCTCAACCCACAAACTGCTTGTCTGGATCAGTCATGTATCATTATATAGTTTAATCGCATTTCGTTCGCTTTACTTGTGCCTGATAGAAACGGAAGTTAGAAGGGCTTAGAACACAAGCAAAGAAACAAGAAAAAAAAAATAACATAACGATTCAGATTTAGCAGATCCACCTAGTAGTTCTTCGTCTAATCTTGGTCGAGTTGGAATTTGGAAGTGATGGTTTTTGAGGAGAGGGGAAAACCGGAGTACCCGGAGAAAAACCTCTCGGACTAGGGAATAGAACCGACATCAAGCTCAACCCATATATTACTTTATTAGGGGGAGGCGAGTGCTCTCACCACTGCGCCACCCTTGTTTCAAAAAAATATACAACTAAGGAAGCAATAACCCTTTTGGTTATAAATAATGGATTGTTAGGTCACTCGGCTCTCGTTTCTGGCTTAGAGTTATTTGCTAAACAGTCGTTTTATCTCCTAAGACCTAAGTTTAGGCCTTTCCTGGTGTATAATAATTATATTTACCTCATGAATGACCTCCTCGACACGATCCTGCCTTCTTCCCTTTGGCGTGTGTTTATCCATACGAAGTGCAGCCTTAAAAAAAATAAGTAACACTTAATGTTGTTGTTATTTTCGTAAAGTAAGAAACATACTTCTATACAGTGAAAGCAATTCAGTAAATGATTATACTAATAAAAAATAGGGATTGTGGGCGAGATTGATGCGACGGAACCTGTTTTGCTCGAGCACTGTGCTTTGCGTAAGTTCCACTTGTCAGATTGAGAGTGATAGAACGTACAAAATCGCGTGATCAATGTAGATTGGGTTTTGTGCGCCCCATTCATTCTTTGTGGAAGTCCAAGCAAATGCTGGCTACATGTGTACCGGTCATGTGTGATAGCAACCTGTCTCTGGAGACTGTAAGAATCTCGGCCCGTCCTCTCTGGTCGTCCGCAAAAGGACAACCTGTCATTTTTCACGTTATTCCCTGACAATCATAAGATTTTATTATTAACTGATAATAGCATACTGAAAAAGCTAAGCCCTAGGTATGCGAATTTATTCAAATGAATACGTGGAAGGTTATTACTACCTGAAAAGTCAAATGTTCTCTGACAGTGAGCGATCCAATGAACAAGTCTTCCTGTTGAATATACGCCGACATAGTATTGATATTAAGGCCAGCGGGATGTCCATTCACTGCGACTGTTCCTCGTACTTCTATCTGAGCAATATTCCGATGTGCTAACACATTCATTAGAGTAGACTTGCCAGCACCACTAAAAAATATAGAACAGTTTCATATATTTTTTATTGCCTGAGAAAAATGTTATGCCTTCCTGGAGGAATAAATAACTCCTGAGGTGGCATTGAATTTAACCGTTTCGCTATGAGCTGTTTTGACAAAAACGGAGAACTGTTATAAAAGTTTCCTTTGTAGGTGAGTTAAAATAACCTCAAAGGAAGCGCAAATTATCAAAAATATAAATTCACTGATTGCATGGCAATAAGTTTTATTTTAACTCCGGATTTGGAGTAACCACGTAGAAAACACNTTTCATTGTTAGCGAAAAATCTTGGAATTTCTTGTGTTTTGATTTAAAAAGAGCCCTATATATCACAAATTTTGTTAAAGTTATGATTAACTGGTAACAGAACTTCGTGTCATCCAATTCGATCTGTAATCATACTCGTGATGAAACAAATCGGACTCCCGCTACACGGTCGTCCGATTTTGTTAATCATTCGTATGATTACAGACCGAATTGGACTCCACTCAGTCCTGTTACCATTACTTATTATTATTAGTATTATTATTATTATTACTATTATTACATGTAATAACTTGGAAGGTCTGCTTGAAGCAATGACAATTAAATAATCATGACCATAAAGGAAATATTTAACTGTTGTGATGTAGTTGACTCAGTTACATAACATTTGGTTTCCAGATTTATATTCAAAGTGTTAAGCGAAGGATTTATAAATCTATTTTTTAGAAAGAAAGGGAAATTTGACACCATTTCCAAGGGGAAAACATCAGACTTTGATTAGTCTCCCAAGCAGCTATTTTTGACTCATCAAGCAGCAAAACGCTTAACAAATGTGGTTGCGTGGTAGACTACAACTTGATACCAACTGGCAGGTATCAGTTAGGCTATATTGTATTATAGTTATTATTACGTAATGAAATCGGGAGCTCCGCTTTTAGGCTTGGCTAAATATATATATTAGTCTTTGATTGTAATGCATTACTAAGGCTGTGGACTATCCTGATCCCTTATTATTTTTGAGATAGTTGCATAATTGCTTACCATCGAATAAGATTTGTTTGATTTTCGGCTCGTCATCCTTGTCTCCACAATACAACCGCTTCCATACAGACGGTCTCGGTTGAGGAACAAACACATTAATGTTCTTCCATGACAATGTTACCTTCTCTCTCAGGTCTTCAACACTCGTTACATTAGCGATGACGTCTGTGCCAGGGTCTGTGTATTTTGCGTTAAACGCAAGACCATTTAGACTGTCAGTTGACCTAGACATTTCAGACTTCGATGGAACAAAGTTCGCCATTGTTTTTTTCTGGTCTCTGAGTGAAAGACACCCCGCACTGTGCCCCGTGGTCAATGAATCCTCAGCAGTTTCCCGGCACACTACGACAGCAAATAAATGTATAGTTTTCTGATTTACCGGCCTAGATCTCAACTACAAGCCGAAGGCTTATCTTATCGTTTCAAACTACGCTTGGATGTTCAAAAACGATAATATGACTCCCTGTTGTACAAAATATTCTCTAAACTACAAAAGGAAGATAGTAACTCATTCTCTAAGATTGAAGGAAGGCATAATCGATGCCTTTTGAGTGTACTAGGCTCAAAAATACAAACATCCTTGAAAATATTACTCCTATATTATATAACACAATAAATCTAAAATTCAGTGTTATTCTCTCCATCCTCAGTTTTTAAGAACCACATTATTCATCTTTGAAAAGTTGTTTTATTATGTATTATCCAGTCTAGTAAATTTCAACCTCCAGGATACGAATTGAGTGGATTCATATTGGCGCAAAAAACTATAACCCTTTAAATAACAGTTTGATATTGACTTAAAGTGTTCCGCTTCAGCGTTTAAACCAGTCGATAACAGGTGGTTCTCAAGAAATTACAAACAGTTGCGTAGATCGAAAGTAGACGCTTTTCAGCTCTAAAAAGGAATATTGATTGAAGCCGCGCAATAAACAGATGCTAAATAGAGAAACTGTACAACAAAATTTCCAAATTTAAGGGAGAGTTCGACTCGCTCATAGTTACAAAAAGGAAACAAAAAGAAAGTCAGATAAATTAATTTACTAATCTATTTATCATATTGCTATATTTTGATTACCCGCTTTAAGTTCCTTAAATATCAGAGTTTGGAAATACTAATAAACATAACCCTATATATTAAGAACAAGGACTGTTCTTAAATCCATTTTTAATTTTTAGCTTGCGTTACACTAATTCTTACTGACCTTTCTCGGGTGGGGGACTCGCATTCGTGATTGTCCACGAATTCCAACTCTGTTCGTCAGACATATGTGTTGAAAAGTGTTGGACGAGTGGGGAAAGTGAAGTAAGTAGGCACAATGCTTTCAGCAACTGGTATTTTTGAATCCTTCTCTGTGCACTGACAAGACTGAAGCAAGATGGGCTATTCCGGCGACACAAATTGGCCAAACTTACTTTTATCAGTGTTTATCGGAAAAGCTGCCTTTGGTTGTGTACTTTAAATTCTTAATCATTTGTTGAGCGTTATTCAGTCATCCACGACTTCTTTCTACACCAATTAGAATCACTAATCCAAACGAAAACCGAAACGAATTGAGTTTCTAAAGTACTCAGCTGATTAATACACTTAACTAGAGTACTAAATCACTTTTAAACTATTCGCTAATATTGCATTTCAGCTAACCAATAAGAACTTCAATTCCTGTGAACAAACTGAAAAAAACTTGAGTTCATCAAGTACCGTGTTGTTTAAAACACTTCTCTTGCTGATAATTACAATTTTGGAATTATTTGGCTATATTATATAGTCATCTACGACTGGATAATTCAAACCCGGTAGGAGGAATATTTACATTTATTGAAATACGATAAAAATCATTAAATAAAACGTAGTTTACAGTTAATTTTCGTCAAATACGTTTTGGGAAGTTAGTTGCAGTTGTTATTGTTGTTGGTTTTTCAGTTTTCATTTTCTTTCAACTGAGTTATAACTGAGTTAATTGGCCACAATGGAAAGTCACTATGATTATGCTATAATATGCATGCGTATTTTTAAGAACTGAGGCTGTAACCACTTGACAAAACCTGCCGTTATATCTTTCAACTGGTCGAGTCCTTTATAAAACTTTAACTGAACATGTATAGTATCTGCAACAGGTCTGCACAAAATTCTGTACTCTTCTCAAAATTCTGCTCAATGAATGAACAAAATTAATTTCTGTTTCTTGGTTTGACGAAAGAAAACAATAAAATGTTTTAATGGGGCCAGATTTCGCTGACATGGGTAAAACAAAAGCTGCGATTATGTTACGGATATGTTCTTCAAAGCTTTCACTTTGTTGAAGTGAAAACAGCTATTCGGGGAAGACACACACTAAGTAAACTTATTTCACTGCAAAAAGCGTTATTTCTTTCTGACTAATTGATCATCTATATTGTCAGGTCATCCAAAAATCAATGGTCTATATAATATAATATAACCACTCAGTTTTACTTGATGTATATATTTGATGACTGAAACAACGTAACTGAATAGTGCAGTACTTATTCAATCTACGTAAAATGTTCATCTTTGATAGCTAAGACGAGTGTTTTTAAATAAAATTGGTTCTTTCCCATTTACAAAGGGAAATCGGTCGGCTTGTGGTTTGGCAGAAGGTGGGAAACAACTTTAAAACAACATTAACCAATTCTCGTTCTCATAAAAGTGACGATGAAAGAATAACAAAGTTGAAATTAAGTGCAGTTTCATTTCATCTTCCGAAAGTATTCCACTGCAACGGCAACCCCGAGAATTCCTGCCCAAACCTTTGCTTCTTTCTCAACGAGGCGAAGAAAGTAATACTGTCACGGACGGTTAGCCGACTAAAAAAGGTACATGTTGCCAATGACACTGTCGTGAACTGTTACCCTCTACTTATAATTTGAAACAATAGACGGCAGACTGATCTGAACGATACTGAAAAATAGCGAAAAACGAAAAAAAACAAATTGCTGAAAAATAAATTTAAATATATCTAAACAAATTTACGTAATATTTTATTTTGTTTATTTGTGGGCAAAAATCGCTTTGATAAAAAATACCCATGCACAAAGAGTTCAAATACGAAGGGTTCTGTACATAAACGGGGCTTGGTAGTGAAACTTGCTCCCCTGGCGACTGACGTGATAATGAATAAGGATCAAAGACAAGATGGAATGACGCGATACGTTAGGAGGCTTGAAGTTGAAAAGCCGTGTGTAAAAGTGGTGGCATCTGGGTCAGAGCAGAATATCGTTAAGGTTGGAATGATTTTGAATGCTCAGTTCAATGAACGTTCGCACATTAGAAACTAACAATTACAAGTGTAAAAACAATAGCTACATTATTTTGTAAATTGCACTTTTTAAATATGTTTTGAATTTACTCCAAGTTAATTGCAGAAATACAAACAAGGTGACCTCTGATTTAAAAAAAGAGAAAAATTCGGTCCCCTTGCACTGACCGGGAATCGAACCCGGGCCTCCCGCGTGGCAGGCGAGAATTCTACCACTGAACCACCAGTGCTTCCCGGCAGAAATGATTCCTTCTTTGTTGAAGCGTTTTACTTTTTGACCAGTTTACTTTCAGTTTCTTTTTTAGTTCACAGATTCCAAGACATTTTTATACCTATTATAAAATAAACAAGTTAACTCAGATAACATTTTTAAGACTCTGTAAGTAAATTAAAGCAAGCTACTGTTAGAAATCCTAACAGAAGATTATCTCAGTAATTAAAATTTTTTAATGGATGGAAATTTGGCTTAAACCCTGCAGGAAATCAGAGATGTCCAACCTTAACGGTCTTATTGAGCCTGGTTCTTTATTGGCGCTAAATCAGTCGGAAACATTTTCTAACCTTAAAATTGAGCCCGATAGCTTAGTAATTAAGGTAGGGACCGCGGAGCAAGGTGAACAGTGGGAGGGCTGACAATTGAAAATATTTTTTTCGTATTGAAAATCGAAAAAAGGAATAAAACTTTTAACAATATATTGAAATGTTTACTGGTCAAACTCAAACTCACCATTTTCACTGCAAGTAGTTGTCGTCTTTTCTGCAGAGCTTACAGACTTTGACGAAGTCCCAGATAACTCTAATAAACGACCAACATACACAGTCAGTTCAGATTCAATGCAATTACAATTTTAGTATAGAAAATACATGGCCGTTCACTGTTCAAGTAATGTAATTCTTCTTGCCATCGAATATTTCATTGATTCGAAAGGAGAAAGACAAAATGTAAAACTTTTATCAACTCAAAACAACTACTCACCTTCCTTCGGCTTGAAAAAGCTAGTAATTTTCTTCATTTCAAGGGACAAGTCGGCCCCAGGGCACAATTACCGCGAAAAGCACAGGAGCCCCACAAAATGCCTGGCGTTTGAAATTAAAAAAAAATACAGAGAATATAGCGGAATATAGACGGAAAAAAACTTGTTTTCAATTTTAATTATTTTTCCTTTTAGCGCGAAAAGTGGGGGCGGGGGCGCAAAAAAGTGGTGGGGTCGTGGCCCTACCAGCCCCGCCCCCTCCCCGGTCCCTGTACCCTTCCCCCACCCCCTAGTTGTAGCTGAACTGGACAAACTAAATGAATCTCGTCACGGCTGCAAAGGCTTTGAATTGTTAAGAGAGTATAAACAAGTGTCTGTAAATTAAACTGCAATAACAAGATTGAAGCTAATATGTAAAGTTGATTTAATCATACAGTCAGATTGAAAGCTTGAACATTGATCACCATCTCTGCAAATATTTAATATCTTAGTGCAGACAATTTAAAGATAGAAACGACTTGAGATTGACGCCTGAATAAAGCATTCTTTAAGGTGACTCGACCCAGTTTTTTTTTTAGGGGGGGGGGGGGGACACTCTTTCTTTAAACCCTTCCGGATTCCCCCCCTTTACTTTTATGGGAGTTTCAACACAGAGACTGGTGACAAAATAGATAAATCATAAAAAAACACAATAAATTTTCGCGTCAGGATAAANCTGCTTTTTTTCGTGAAAATCTCTCGGCTACACATAGTGCGCATTAGTGTCTTGCTCTGAACAGAGTTTCACCAAAATCGCAAAGACCCAATTCGAGAAATTCAGCGGTTTCCAAATTTAGGTCATAATTTATGCGAAAATGATAAGCAAACTTTACACGGATTATATCTAATAAACTATGAGATTCCTCTCTTTATTAACGAAGAAGGACTTTTAAACGCTGACAAACCTCAAC